GTTCCATGACTCCTCCATGACCTTCTAAAACTAAGTTGGAGCCCTTCAATTACCTGAAGTATTATGCTTCCCTACTTTATTAATGTTTTACTAAAGGGTTGAGCAGTCAGGTGTCCAGTACCATTGGGTTTGCTGAAAAGATAAATTGCTTTGAACAATCAGCTGTGATGAATGTGTGAAAAAAGTGATCATGCTGGTATAATCAGAATGCACTTAAGAAATTCTGATATTACCCAACCTATGTAGAGAATCAATGAAATTCCCTGTCCAGCTTTTAAAATCGCATATATATTCCTAAAGCAGACAGAGAATCACATAGTTCAAACTGCTGAGGGAAATATTGGATGTGATGTGTGCTCACTGCACCTGAACAAACCCTTGTCAGAGATAATGCAGCAATTTTGAAAAATAATAAGTCAGATACCCACTGATGCAGAAGCACAAATGTGAATTTATTATGATGTTGTCATGGAATTACAGGCCGTTTTTATACCTTGGCTTGATAACATTTTTGACAACTGCTAGTTTAAACTAGGCATTATGCATAGAAATGTCCCAATTGTTCATTTAGGTGTGTCTCTGTGCTATGTTTGAATTTGTTTTATCTGTTTTTGTAAATTTATATATACAATGTTTTCTTCATCCTATCTGACAAGTGCGTGCTTGTTGTATTTTGACCTTGTTTAATTCTTGGCTGAAAACCAGTTTCATGTGGGATAAAAACAAAATAGAAAAGGGATAATTTTATTCTAGACACCTTTGGTCTCAACTTGACTGTATTCACTGCATACAGAGCTTTAGAAAAAGATGTTTTAGCTGATCTGCAATACTACATAATGGCCACCAGAGAGCAAAGTTGAATAATTGCCACTACACTATAAAGAGAATAAAATGTAAAATCGCCCCTTGTTTGCCCAGACCAGCTGAGATTGTTTGAGAAACATTCCATAGAAAAGCCAACATCATTCAATATGACATGACCACAAGTTCCTTATTTAATTATTTCCCAGTGAACGTGCCGAAAGTTCTGCTCACGTCACATGATAACAATTGATCCATATATACTGAAGGTGTAACAGTGTAAGGACTTGATGAATGTGTTAGTCCCTGCAGAAGTGATGATACAACAGATCACAGGTGAAAGATCGATGGAGATGATGAGGCCCTGCTCTGGACTGACTCCTGGGGGACTATCTCACCGTGCTAGACTGTGAATTGCTGACTGTAATCATAAGGGTGAATGCCACACTTCCACTTCCACAACTCCCTGGATATTCTATCATATGACCGACAACTGTTATTAAGCTGCTGTTGTCATGGGTGAACTGACAGCAGAACCGAAACTTTCTGATTTGTGGCCTGTTGGTCAGAGAGATTCTATTGAGAAAAGATTATATTTTACTTAATGGGTACTTTAGCTTCAGCTGAACTTACCACAAAGTGGATCCGGTGTGGTGCAGTTGCTCTTTTGTTTGCATTGATCCTCCCTGAGGCCCTGCACCAGGTCGGGATTGGAGTCCTGCAGCACTCTCCTTCTCCTTGCCCTCTGTTCCAGCCTCCTCACCCGACCCTGAGATCTGCTGATGAAGTCTGGCCTAAAGAGCTCCAAAGCCTCCTGGGTTGGGGAGAGGGATATATACAGTAAGCTGCTTGTTGGTGGGACGAATACAGTTCAACTGCTAGACACTAATCCTGTGGAAAGAGAAACAAAAATCTTCATTGGGTTAGAATGTATTCTGAAAATATCCTTAATCTATTCCTTAACCTTGGAGAATCCTCTTCACAGCCTTGTAATAGCTAGGAGGTGTAGTCAACATGGTAATATTATGCTCAGCTTTAGTGGGGATAAAGGTAAGGGAGCTTTTCTTACAGGGGGAATCTGAATCCTTTAGAAAGCCTCACAAACCTCAATGGATCTTTACCCCTCAAAACACTGAAATGAAACTTGTTACTTTTATTGGATCGAAAGAAAAACTGAAATAGAATTTAAAAAAGAGAGGAAAAAAAATGAAAATTGTGTAATTATTAAAGATTTTTTTCATCCGCCTCTTGTTGGCAGAGGCTGTGACAAACGCCAACTAAAGCAAAAATGTGTTAAAATCACCCCTAAAGAGATGCTGCTGCTGTACTGACAATGTTTATTCCAGGAGTAAACACATCAAGATTCTCTGTGTGGGAAATAGTCTTAACATATAATGCCTCAGGTTTCAAAGGTTCCACATACACATACACTGCAATTTTTCATATCTGATCATAAAATGTGTGTGGTTGCACTGTGTATAATACTATACAGCTTTTCACTGCATTTGTGTGACTCCATAAATGACCTTCAGGATGTCAGTTGTGGTTCTGTACTTTGTGGAATCATTATTTGTTGTTTTTGCAACCGTGGCTGATCCCACTGATTCTTTGATAGTTCTTATCTTTGATATATCAAAAGCAGTGAAACAAGTAAAAATTTGAAAATCAATTTGCCACTGGGGACTTTAGGGAAATTGTTTGCTTGAACCTTCATAAAGGAATATCCACATTACAAGTTACACAGTCTCCAAACTGTTATTAGTAGGAATTATGAACTTATACATGTTTATTGTAAAATTCTTAGCACAGGATCCACTTAAAGGGGAATTCCTCTGATTTTACACATTGAAGTCTGTTTACAGGTCTTGGAGAATATTACTGCATGTGAAAAAAGTTGTATAAAACCTTTTGTGGATCCAGTGTGTGAAATCTAATAAATTCCTGGCTGGGGACTACAATTTTCATGTGAAAATGAAAAAAATATGGAGGTGTGGAGTTAGAAAGTAGTAGTACCAGACATCTGTAACCTTCTCCTCTAGGCTAAATTAGCTGCCTGTATTGCCAAAATGTCAGTAGTTGAGTTGCATTATGGGAAATATAGATGCCTGGTTCTGCTGCATCGATGTGGTCCTTTTTAAAAACTAAAATGTTAAAAATAATTGGATATAATAAACATTTTTGGGCCATTATGCATAGTGACTATTCCTTTTGGTACTTGAAGTATATTTTGATGCTTATACTTTTGTATTTTTATTTAAGCAAGATTTTGAACGCAGGACTTTTACTTATGACATAGTATTTCTACACTGTGATATTGCTACTTTAAAGTAAAAGATCTAAGTTCCTTGTCCACCACTGGATGTAGTATATTGGTGTGCAATGCTAAGTCAGTTTAGAACTATTTTAATGGAAATATAATGGATTGTTCAGTCTTATCATGTGGCATTCATCAGTGACGATTGAGTTTGCTCAGTTGTCGGAGATAGTTCACTTGTTATCAATGCCACAGAGACCATTCCTAAAGAAAGACAGGTTATGACCTCCCCCACATATTCAATACCTTGTTAACCTGCAACCAAAGTTCCCTACTCAGGACACATGATAACAACTGATCCATCTCCATGACAATTTAGTAGACTCAATCTCTTGATGAAGGCCATGAGATATGGCTAAAAGCTACAGAAATATGTCATTAAGTGGACCTGGTGCAAAAAATGCAAAAAAAGTTTTTACAGGTCAAAAGCGAACCTTTAGCTCAAGGACTGGAGTTCCTTTAGCTTGTTGCTATTGTGTATATTTCCTAAAAGACAAGTCATTATTTAGAAAACTATAAAAAAAAGTAACAGAAATGTGGCTCCTACTTGGAGGCTGAGTGTCTTGGGTATGCCTTCCAGAAAATCGGCCTTTTGTGGGAAGCAGGTCTTATCCAAAGTGGATACTTTCTGAAGCTTTTGAGGTTCTTGTCGTTCCTCTGTCTTGTCACTCCCTACTTGCTTGCTCCACGCTCTGGAGTCCACTTGAGAGACACAGAGAGAATTGAAATGACTGTGATATTTTATCTGGCAAGTCACATCTTTCCAAAAAAACCCAAAAACATGTCAATGAATTGAAGACCAAGATCACTTTCACAGAGAGAAATAATTTGAAGTAGATAGTTAGCATCAGTTTTTGTAGTTTGCTACTGTTTGGTGTTTATGAAAGACATATTGTAGATGTAATCGAGACGACTGTATTCTTCCCCTCTCAGACTGAGTAATAGCACAATTTGTTGAGTTGTCAATGTTCTTGAGTTCCATCAACGCTTTTATGATTTGGAGAAGCAGGTAAGTGAACAGACCTCAAACTGACTCTAGCACACCCACAAATCAGAGAGAGAAAAAAACCCGGAGGGAACATGAGTGTGACCTATGAATAATGTAAAAGATGACAGTGCATTCATTCTGCACCCGTAACCCCATTCCTCTACCTTTTGTGGAATATATACATCTTATTGAATACCCTGCCATGACCATATGGCATGTAGATAGCACACTTGCCCTTTAGGCAGTGGAATAAATGAAGTGCCCAGTGTAAAAAACAAAAGTTTAAAGAATACACAGGAAAGCTGTGGGATGGTGCAGAAAATGAATGTTTTAATGAATGGAAAGAGCGGTTTAATAATTGAATAGTGTTGTGTTGCAGTTTTTTTTCTTGAGACAGCCATGTAACAGGAAAGGCCAGCAGGCCTGTAAGACTCTGAAACTGTTCCAGGCAGTGACCTCACATTTTCCTTCCCTGAGTCCTTTTGGCTTTGACATCCACTGTCAATACCATATAGGTCTACTCACTGCACGTAAGGTACAGTATATATACTGTACATTCTGTATGGAGACTTTTGGCAATATTAATATCAATTCTTTCAGCTTATGATTGCTACTACACTGCACCATACTATTATTTGCTTTCTTGTGGTGAGTTAGATGGAAAGATCGATACCACTCTCATGTCTGTCTGTTAAATATAAAACTATAGCCAGCAGTAGTTAGCTTAGCTTAGCATAAAGAATGTAAACTGGGGAAACAGCTAGCTGGACTATTTTTTGGCCGGGTGCTTTGGATCCTTGATTTTGTCGTCACTGTGAGCTTGCCAAGCAAACAGCAGGAACTCCAGGAAGTATCACAGTCCTGAACATACTCCCCATATTACCACAATTTGCCATTTTTGCTCTTTGGTTGTTTGTGCAAATTAAACAAACGTGATACAGACGGGGGCAAGTTAAAGGAAAACCTGAATAAAAGAGTGGGAAACATATCAAATGCAGATGCTTCCATGGACCAGGGCTCACTGAATGGTATGGTGAGTATGAAAATTATGTGAATTAAATGCTACGTCCTTTACCAGATCTCAACCCAGTTCCACACATATGGAAGATTTTTGACCAACGTGTAAGACAACACTCCCCACCACCACCTCCATAAAATCAAACGATATAATAAAAAATTTCATTTTCAAATCTATTTAGTGATGTCTGTGACCTGATATTGTCTCTGATGACCTCTAATGACCTTTTGTTATGTCTGGCTATGCTTGATTTTCTTCCTATCTTTTCTGGTCTCTCTTGCAAAATATAGCTTGGTCAATGAGATTACCTTATTAAATAAAGGAGATATACACTCACCTAAAGGATTATTAGGAACACCATACTAATACTGTGTTTGACCCCCTTTCGCCTTCAGAACTGCCTTAATTCTACATGGCATTGATTCAACAAGGTGCTGAAAGCATTCTTTAGAAATGTTGGCCCATATTGATAGGATAGCATCTTGCAGTTGATGGAGATTTGTGGGATGCACATCCAGGGCACGAAGCTCCCGTTCCACCACACCCCAAAGATGCTCTATTGGGTTGAGAGCTGGTGACTGTGGGGGCCATTTTAGTACAGTGAACTCATTGTCATGTTCAAGAAACCAATTTGAAATGATTCGAGCTTTGTGACATGGTGCATTATCCTGCTGGAAGTAGCCATCAGAGGATGGGTACATGGTGGCCATAAAGGGATGGACATGGTCAGAAACAATGCTCAGGTAGGCCGTGGCATTTAAACGATGCCCAATTGGCACTAAGGGGCCTAAAGTGTGCCAAGAAAACATCCCCCACACCATTACACCACCACCAGCAGCCTGCACAGTGGTAACAAGGCATGATGGATCCATGTTCTCATTCTGTTTACGCCAAATTCTGACTCTACCATCTGAATGTCTCAACAGAAATCGAGACTCATCAGACCAGGCAACATTTTTCCAGTCTTCAACTGTCCAATCTTGCAAATTGTAGCCTCTTTTTCCTATTTGTAGTGGAGATGAGTGGTACCCGGTGGGGTCTTCTGCTGTTGTAGCCCATCCGCCTCAAGGTTGTGCGTGTTGTGGCTTCACAAATGCTTTGCTGCATACCTCGGTTGTAACGAGTGGTTATTTCAGTCAAAGTTGCTCTTCTATCAGCTTGAATCAGTCGGTCCATTCTCCTCTGACCTCTAGCATCTACAAGGCATTTTCGCCCACAGGACTGCCACATACTGGATGTTTTTCCCTTTTCACACCATTCTTTGTAAACCCTAAAAATGGTTGTGTGTGAAAATCCCAGTAACTGAGCAGATTGTGAAATACTCAGACCGGCCCGTCTGGCACCAACAACCTTGCCAAGCTCAAAATTGCTTAAATCACCTTTCTTTCCCATTCTGACATTCAGTTTGGAGTTCAGGAGATTGTCTTGACCAGGACCACACCCCTAAATGCATTGAAGCAACTGCCATGTGATTGGTTGATTAGATAATTGCATTAATGAGAAACTGAACAGGTGTTCCTAATAATCCTTTAGGTGAGTGTATATAAATGAGGGAATATCTTATGGTGGAACTGTGCTCATCCCTCCAAGACTTTGCAAGGACCACTGACTGTAGCTGTTCTGGATGCTTGTGGTGGCATGACTCCACATGCTAAGACACTTCATGTTGGTTGTTCCTTTAATTTGTCACCGATCTGTAAAATGTGTTAATTATTGAGCTTTAGGCCCCATCCACACTACTAAATTTTCGAATTAAAACGGAGAGCTTTTGCTACGTTTGCACCTCCTGTCCAAGCGAAAACGAAGACTTAAAACGGAGAAGTTTGGAAATGCTGCCAACCCCGTTTTGTGTTTCAAAACTCCAGAGGGCGTTTTAGTGAAGACGGGCCAAAACGGTCACGCTCTGCTCTCTGATTGGCATCATATTTTTATTATAATATTATGTACCGTGCAAATAACACTTATCTGCCTACACTTGTACTGTGCATGTAGCTGTTTCCTTTGTGACGTCTGTTTCCGCCACCACACTCCCGTGTTACATTCAGTAACAGTCCCAGCTCGTTATTGGTGCATGCAAAAAAAAACTGGTCTAATGCTTCCTCTGTATTTATATATTCTTTTGCCAAATCTTCTGTAACTACGGAATAGACCATCTGCTTCATGTTTACACTGGCACGCGAATGCACCGTGTACCTGAACAGGCCCTACTGTGCGTTTTCAGTCATTTTAATGTAGACAGAGATCAACGCTTGTGTGGACGGAGATCGTATTCATTTTAATTCTCCGTTTGTAAACTAAAACGGAGTAGTGTGGATGGGGCCTTACAAGTGCTGGTAGGTGTATTTTATTACAGCTGGACAGAGCCAGACTAGACTACCAGTTTTTATGATATGCTAGGCTAAGGTAAGTGCTGTAGCTGGCTGTAGCTTTGTACTTAGCTTAGAGACATGATACAAGACGGTATAACAGAATTAATTAGCTACCCTTTAGAAATCCAAACATCTTCTATAAGATCTAATTCTGTTGCTCTGGGACCTGTATGTTGTGTTAGTTACCATTTATGTCACCCTGAAGAGAGTGCAACAATTAAACAGGAAGCTCTTCAGTGACATTAAATGTCTTAACACAGCTTAATATAACCATGGTCTCATCCTAACGGATGTACAAGTAAACCTGGAGAAAGATTGTTTAAATTTAATACAGTATCATATGCTAACTTACGTGTTGAAAGTCAGAGAAGTATAAATGAAAGTGTTTGTTCATTGTTTACATCTGCAGGTATACTGAGAGTGTGTGCAGCAGTTGGGATTTATTGTAAACTGTGTGAATGTACAGTAGGAGAAGTGTGGTCAGTGTTAGTCTATTAACAGTGCGTAAAGTATAAATCAAAAAGTGAGAGGTAGAGTGAAAGGACTATACAGATCAATTGGCATGGGTACTTGAGATTTTCTCTTCTGAAGCAAGGTGATGAAATTCATACCTGGGCCAATTTTGGAAGAGTGTTGTCTGTGCCTGAAATTGCTCTGCGTAGGGAAGTCTGCCTCATCTGCATTCCCCTTCTGTCTTCCAGCCTTTGTGTTGGAGGGACTTGGCCCTCTGAATGACAATATTCCCAAAGTAGCACTGCCGTGCTGCATGTCTGAATCATCTGCCTTGCTGTTAACACCATGAGCGGGGGCTATTTCCTCAACCTTGTGGCCCCAGTGCTTTGATAGAGGGCCTCTGCAGTGACCCAAACCACTCTCTCTGCCATTGCATTTGTTATGGCCCAACGTGGCCGCTCTGGATCTCCCATAACTCTCATTTGCTTTGGCTGGTTTGTTATCCGTAGAGGATCTGCGGCAAGATGAGACACCAAGGCGAACAGACAAGGTGGACCTGTACCAAGTGGGTTGGCCTGCACCTCTTCCTTCTAGTTCCATGAGGGAAATGGAAAGTGACTTGTCCAAAAACACAACAGAACTAGTGGTCCTCAGAGGCACCACAAGATAGAAACAAGACTGGTAGTAAGGCCGTGAGGACAGGTTCATTAATGAACCACCTATTATGTCCTGCTTTCTGTCTCCCTCTGTGAAGCTCCATCTGCATTGTTGTACTTTCCTCTTTCCTCTTTCTCTCACTGCCAGTCCATCAGCTGGTGAGAAGTCCTGTCTGAACACATTAGGGGTCACATTAGGATTCTGTCTGCACACGCCCGGTTGGGAGTTTGAGACTCTCATTGTGGTCGTCATTATGGATGAGGCGCTTCCTTCAAAATTTTCTGGTAGTTTTGGTGGCGATGATACCTTCACAGGCTGTATTAGAGTGGGTGAATACCCAGGGTCCTGTGAGGTGGAAAGTAATGGCAAAACCTTCCTGGCTGCAATGGTAAAGGAAGAGAATGCTGTCTTTTGACTCCTTCCCACCACATCTGGGACACTTGCAGTCCTGAACAGGTTGGAACCACTATCTGCAGTCTGAGAGTAGGCAGAGTGTGTTATTGCTCTGAGAGACACACTCTCCTTCTCCTCTTGCCCCCGCCACACACCCCATGACAGCGCATTCCTGTGCAGTGAAGGATTAATATCCTTACTTGAGGCCTATGAAAAAATGGAGAAAAGAAAAAAACCTAATATCAGACTTGTGCTCAAAGTGGGCAACTGACTCCTCTGCAAACTGAAAGATTCTGTAGCTCAAATGAAACGGAGAAAGACTGCAAATACAAAGATATTAGCTGCTGTGATGTGGTTGGAGGGATTTATTATCTGCTCTCCTGATTTATTTCTTGATCTGTTGCTGTTGCCATGACAATTTGTAACTTGATGGGCAGCACATGGGGACATATTATCCATGACATTTAAAATGAACAACCCAGATTTGTCATCTGAAAAAAAAAAAACACTACATGTCTGCTCTATTTTTATTTTTCAATTCAGTTAAAATTAAACAAACTTTGAACACATGGTACGTACTTTAATTATACCAACTTTCCTGCTGTTTATGTCGACAGGATACCTTGCTGGTTAACATTTTTTCTCCCTGTTTGAAGGGCAAACAATTAAACATCTTCCTCAAACAGCTCTTGTGTTGGCTCACATTCCCAAGACCCAAATGTCAGGAGAGTTTTACACAAATATAATTTGGCTTGATGAGTAATTTTGTCTCTTGCTTGACTGTTATTGCAAACCCGGAGTAATGGAAATTAGACAGCACATAATATCAAACATCATAATTATGGAAGAAACAGTATTTTGGTACATAATCAGACATGGAGTCTTTACAGAATATGTAATTTTAGTTGACAGTAAAGTGATGAAGGAGATATCTGGCTCAAATTTCCACAATCTTAAAATGCATTTTGTTAAACAAGCATTCTCAGAAAAGTATTTTCAGAAACAGTGTTTAGTAACTTTCCACGTAATGAGACCTTGGGAGAACAGATAAGTACAACCAGAGCTGTTTACCTCATTGATGTTAGGGGCCGAAATGCTTGGGAATGTCCAACGGCGGAAACCTGCTGACATTGACCAGCTGGCTCCTATTTTCTCATCTGTCTTGACACAACAGAAAAAGGACTATAATGTACATTAGAGCACTGCAGCTTCTGATTTTAACCAGGCTATGCCATACATGACATAAAAGGAAAGTGCACTTCAAAGACATACTCCTCAACTTGAAACACAATTATCAGACTTACCTACTCATCACAAAAGTACAGCTATCTTGTCAGAGGAAATAGTCTTTCTGCTAATGCTTCAATATCACATTATTCACTTCACTTTATCATTCCATCATTTATTCCATGCTTAGAGCCATGTTCATTCCCACCTATCAGCACCCAAAAGAAAAAATCTCTCTCTCTCTCTCTCTCTCTGCCTTTCTGCTCCTCAGCTCAGCTGATGGTGACTCTCCTAACGTGGTTATCTGCATTGCTTGCCTGGCACATTTTGGATAATTCCTTAACAGCAAACAATAGCTTAAATGTTTAGGCCTATTGTTTCAGAAGGCATGGGAAGGGGCTTATCGACTCATTTTATTCACCACTCAGTATAATTCAGTTTTTTAATCATGATACACCAAGTGCACTGCTCTCAATTCAGCTGGTATAAAGCCCAATGTAGCTATTGCAGCCAATAAAACTGAGATTATAACAAATGGAGGCACCGTTTACTCTTTAAATAAACTTGTCAAGCATACAGAGCATTTATTCTGTGTTATACAATGTCACAGTGAGACCTTGCAAATTGAAGTTATGTTGCTGGCCTGTTAAGATGTTTGCATGAATGGTACAATGCATATAATACAAGAAAAGTAATTAGGTTTACCCAATGTGCTCCACTTTGAGGTGAGTCACATGGGACTGGAATGCATGCCTGAACAACAACACTGAAATAGAAATTTATACATTCACAGTTTCACCCCATTTTTCTTTTGATTTATTTTTGCCCAGCCAGCAAGTGTAATTGGGAGAACAATAATGTTTTTATATATTGCACTCTACAAAAGAGAGGTGGATAGGAGTTTCTTTGTGTGAGAGAAAGGGACTATGAGTAGCGACCCTGAAAGACATATGGCATAAACCCTCAATCAATTGAGAGGGTGATAAAAATCTTTCAACTAAAACTAACTAATATTTTTCATATCAAGCAACATATATACCGTAATGTGTCAAGTGTATGATAGGTGACAAAGGTGACAAATTCAAACCTGAGTAAATGAGTAGGGAAGACGCTCCATATAGTGAATGACTATACGAATACAATATATTCCTTAAATTTTTTTTGAATTTAGAGTATTGTATGTACATGGACCTCACTCCACCTTTCTCTACCTTTGTAAACTCTCAAAGTCATGGTGTGACTAAAATGAAAAAGAGTGCACATGAAAACAAAAATAAAAATGTGTTAAAGGATAAGGCTGGTGATATTTCATATTTTTTTCATTGTTAACAAATCCCATGAAAAGACAAAAATTCAAGAATCTTACTGACAAGTATTGTCTGTGTAGCTGAAGCCTTTTCCCCTGTCCAAAAACTACTAAAAGACATCAATGTGCCACACTGTTGAAGTGAGTGAAATGTTCCTTCATTATGATGTACACTCACCGGCAACTTTATTAGATACACCTTGCTACTACCCAGTTGGACCCCATTTTGCCTTCAGAACTGCGTTAATTCTTTGGGGCATACTTTCAGCAAGGTGTTGTAAACATTCCTCAGAGAATGCGAATCTCCTGTTCCACCAAAGGTGCTCTATTGGTTTGAGATCGAGACTCATCAGACCAGGCAACGTTTTTCCAATCTTCTGTTGTCCAATTTTGGTGAGCCTGTGCAAATTCTTCTGCTGCTGTAGCCCATCTTCTTCAAGTTTCAACGTGTTGTGCGTTCAGAGATGGTATTCTGCATACCTTGGTTGTAACGTATTTGAGTTTCTTGTGCCATCTTGAACCGGTCTGCCCATTTTCCTCTGACCTCTGACATCAACAAGCTATTTTTGTCCACACAACTGCCGCTCTCTGCATATTTTCTCTTTTTCGGACCATTCATTTTAAACCCTAGAGATGGCTGTGTGGGAAAATCACATAGATCAGCAGTTTCTGAAATACTGCAGTTACTGAAATACAGACCAGCAAACTGGCACCAACAATCATGCCACGTTCAAAGTCACTTGAATCCCCTTTCTTCCCCATTCTGATGCTCAGTTTGAACTTGAGCAAGTTATCTTGACCACTTCTACATGCCTAAATGCTTTGAGTTGCTGCCATGTGATTAGCGGATTAGCTATCTGCTTAACAAGCAATGGAACATGTGTACCTAATAAAGTGGCCGGTGAGAGTACATGGCAGTACCCATGTAGTTTATTGACTTGATTCCACACCGTCCTTGCTAGCCACTTGCACACTGATGTACAGGGCTGAAAATACTCCACAATAAATCCATTATTAATTCCTGTTAAAGTAATGTTTAATAACATCTACAGTGCCCAGCTGTTTTAGGAACCATTTAAAAAAATTTGAAGTATGTATTTGTGACTGTTTTGAAAAATGTATGTCATTGTTAGGAACTAATGGGCTTGGTGCTAAGTGTCACATACAGGCTGGAGAACTCAAAAAGTATTGAAAGACAGATGCATTGTTGTTTTTTTCATGAGATTTGTTGACATAAAAATATAGAATATAGCCAGCCTTATCTTTCAGAAGTAAACCATAGGCACCGACTGATGGGTCTGTGAGAGATGGAGAAAAATAAGCAAGACCTACATGAGAGAAAAATAAAAACAGAGAATGTGTTTATAAGAAAGAACGAGAGCAAACAGGGTTTGTACTTGGCTGACATGTCCATATGCTTATTGTTGCATGCATGGAAACCAGTGATTGAGTAAACCTTTGTGCTCCTGAAAATGCCAGGAAAAGAGAGGAAGGCCATGGGACCTACAGCTGGTTAGGAAGCAGACAGGCTGTGCAGAGCTGTGGGTATTTGAGAGATAAACCCATCAGCACAGCTAGTGTTGAAATGAGGCCCGGACAAAATGCTGGTATTCAGATGCGTCATATGTGCTGGAGTTAGCTGCGATTATTTTTGACATGAACTAGTCTAATTATCCAGGCCATTCCTTTATGCTCACACTGTTTTTCAACTTTCTGCACACTGTCCTTTGTATTCCCAATACAACACATTTTCTATGATAAGAAAGAGCCACCTAATGATCTCAAAATTGCCTCTTGTAAGAGGAATATTTATTTCTGTATTTGAGTAGCAAATGTGCTCTTGATTCAAGGTTAAATAACCTTCTGAACACACAAAATTATTATTCGTCAGTGAATCATAACTTGTAAGGATGACGCACACGATACTTAGAGTTCACGTTCCCTGTTATAAGCTGAAACAGTTGCATTCTGGTGTCTGTGTTAGAACAATTCGTCAGACCGAGTCAAGCGTGCTGTAATGGTCCTGACTGTGGGTCACTGGAATGTGGTCACATGGGCCATAATCTGTTTGAATTCACAGTAAGAAAACATACCAGTGATATTCAATGTTTATCCTCACCTGAGACGGCAAAAACTATGAAAGTTCTGCAAGTTAGCAACTATGTGAATTATATACATTTACTAGTGACAAGACTTTGTGATTGGTTTTAGTAGATTATATTAGTAGTACATGTGAGCATAGTATCTACAATAGATGGCCATAAATGCATCAATTATTGTTTATATATATATATATATATATATATAATGTATACATTCTTTCTTTTTTCACTGAGAACAAATAGACTGACACAATTTTACTGTTAAAAACCACATTATTACAGAGGACAAATAGAAGCATAATTCTAAAATATACTGTCCAAACCTTACTCTTACTGTACTGTTGTGGAGTCTTCTTACCTGATGTGTCCAGACCAAGACATCAACTGTTGCTCCCACCTTTGGAAAAAAAATAACCTCTTCTTTCAACAGAGGCCAGACTCTCCTGCTCTCAGCCAGGAGTATAACAGGTCCGTGCAGCCACCAGGTAGCCAAGAATGCTCTGTGGTCTTTTCTAAAGCCCCAGTGGAAACTCCTCTCAGCTGACGGGGGATCAAATAGCAAAGCAAAATTCATCAACTGAGTCAATATGTTTACACTAATGACCCTGCAAGCTTGCGTTAGCCTCTTGAAAGCTGTATTTGCTCTGCAAATGAAAGAGAAGGTGAGCTTGTGTCCTTGGTGGAACTTTAACAGTGTTGACTCTGGTGGACACACTTCAGTGGATCTTTATACTTCTCACTTAATTCATTCCCCGCACATGCCTCTGGTTTAGTTAGTCTGGTTAACACCCACCAGGGATCTCTGGAGCTTCCAGCAGTACCCTAGGCCTTATCCATATGAGCGGAGTCCTCCAGGCAGGCAGCACAGTGTGGCTGTCTACCCTTCTTCTCTCCTCTTTCGTCCCCAGAGCCCAGGCTCAGGTAGCAGAACAGGTGACTGACTCTCAGGTTTCAGGACTTGCATAATAGGTCCCCACTGCACAAGGTATTAATGGAGTCAGGGGCTCTCAACATCTCCTGCAGCTGCTTTACTGAATCAATAAAGACACATACACACACGCACACATATAAAGATATAATTATTATGTCTTTATATATCTATATCTATCTCTATCTCTCTCTCTATATATAGATGGATAGATAGACAGACAGACACATAGATAGATAGATAGATAGATAGATAGATAGATATAGGCTGTTTGCTCCTGCATTTACTCTTTCTAGTGCTTACTCAAACCAATACTTTCCAAAGATGTTCTCACATAGCTTCTTTGAAAAGACACATACATCTTCTCAGAATAGGCAGACCTGGATGTGGACAAAAGAACAGTGAGAGTAAAGGCAAAACTATAAATAAATTTCTAGATATGGTACAGCACTGAATGTGCTGAATATTCAACGTATTGTTTCTCCCCTTTATGCATCCCAGCCAAAGTAGGGTAGCATTAAAAATCAGAGTACAGTACAGAAAGTTTACACTTTCTCGATGATGAATTACCCAGTTACTCGACTAAAACAGTAAAAGCATTGAGGTATATTTCACGCTTGTCACTACGCATGACCCAGTGGTTATGCTGACATGAATACTGAATAAAGCAAGGTGATGATCAATGACTTCTATCTCCAGCTATTAAGCTAAGCTATCCGAGGCATATACTGGTGCACTTCTAAATAGTTGTAAATACGCGTATGCAGAGTAATCATTGTACAGTTATTTCTCTATTTATAATGAATAGCAAGCAGTTTTCTTTTATGGGGCCTTTTATTTTTATAACCTAGTATGTTAAAGTCTCTTGATCTCCATGCTAGTGGATCATCTTCATACAGAAGTCGCAATAATGCAACAGCTTTTGCAACTGAGTAAGGTAATTACACGTTTGAATGAAAAATATCAAATGAGTTCACTGAGTTGTAATATATTGACGATGTTCAATCTTTGATTCATACTGTAAACATGAACCTAGTGAAAACACTGGAAAAACATAGTTCAGAAATTAAGATGACAGGTTATCAGCAGTAAAAATGTGTAATACTTTCCTTACCTGACAAACTCCTGATACATGTACATTGAACAATTAACAGTCCCTGAAATATCAATTTACTTACTGTCATTTGACATTTATGATTTATATGTGATATTACTATGTTATAAGACAGTTTATTATGTCGCATTCTGTTCAATGTTGACCCATTTAGATTTATAAAGATATATTTCATTGTGGCAAAAATTTACTTACTCAACTATTCTTTCATGTGAAAATTGCTTAAAGCGTTTCTTACTTCATTGGTTCTCTTAATAATCCATCACTTTGAATAAAAACTTCATGACCATTGTGGCTGCTGTATCCAGCTTCAGTGCGTCAGGCTGAGGAAAGTCTTCTTATTTATCTTTGCACCTCTTCCCACCCCAACCTTTTAAACCTTTTCCATTCCTATTAGAAATGTTTCTATGGCTTGACGCACCAAACAAGGTCTCTTGAAGTAAGCACAAAAGTTGCTGTTTCACTCAACTATTGTAGTTTGAGAGCTCTGAGAAAGCACCTGAGAAAAACACTGTGAAATGAGGTTTTCTCAACACGCCTCAAGATATGTGTAGGGAAGTCTATTCTGAGCTAATCCTATTAAAATTCTCATGTTGTACAGTATGTCCACCCTAAGTCTTCCAGCAATGTCACTTCTTGTTTGACTGCCACTGTTTCATGGGGATTTGTACAATCAATACTGTGCTCTAAAGCAAACATCAGAAACACCATGGGTATAGGCTACTAAAGCTCTCTTCAGTCCTGTTAGTTTTTGAAAAGTTAGATTTGTCATTCAGAACTGTTTTGTATTTGAGTGTTGTATTTGTATTTTGATGCAACAGGTTCACAAACAAATGAAAATACAGCATATTTAGAAAGACAGACATTATATATTGTTGATCACATCAAACACACACTTGTCGGCGAATTCCCACTAATAGCTGGCTGCAGGGGCGTTGAACATAAAGCTCTATGGGGGCACTGACCCCCTTATTCCCCATGTAAATTTTTGATTTATGAATTTGATATATTTTTGTGTATGAAATTTGTTAGTATGTACCTCACCAGCATCCCTTGCTTAGCCCATTAATATTGGCACTGTCATATTGTGACAGGGTCAGAAAATGCCTTATGATTTTAGCGTTGTGGTGTGTTTTTCTAGTGTGTCATTTGTGTGTTGTGCTTTTTATCGCATGTGGAGTGGTGTGACTATGCATGCTATATATGATTGTCAAATTATTGGTGTGTTTTAATGCATGTGTGGGTGATTTTAAGTTTTACGAACTGGCAAGACTGTCTTTGAATGCCGCACACCTCTGCTGATGTGGTAAATAGACAATGAGCAACAGGTGTGGACGCCGGCAACAAACTGAACAGGACTTCTTTTAAGCGAAGCAACGGCAACAGCATGGAGCATTGAGCAGGAGGGCAGTAGTAAACGAGAGATCTGTGGGGAAGCAGCTGGCGAGCGACCGTTAACGGAGCCAACAGCGACACGAGTACAGACGACTGCAGCAGCCAGTGTCCGCCAACGTGCCAAGGCTTTATTTCATGATCTCAACATCTGGCATTGCTGTTCAGGGTTGGGGAGTAACGGATTACATGTAACGGTGTTGCGTAATCAGCATACAAAAAAAAGAGTAACTGTATTCTGTTACAGTACAGAAAAAAAGACGTAATCAAATTACAGGTACATTTAGTAAAAACGGGGATTACATAGGGATTAGGCTACTTTAAACACAAAGTTTCCATGGAACGGAAAGCGGAGTGCTATTTGCTGTTTGGTAAAAACACAAAGCTAGGGAGGGATCTATCGCAGATATTGATTGGGGTGTAGCCAGTAGCTGAATGTGGTTATATCCCTACCCCGTCATGCAGACCTCCCAGTGAGTGAACACTGCTGCCGGACATGGGAAAGAGCACAGCCTCCGAGACCTACGGAGGCCAGTTTGACCACTGGGAATACAGTAACACGGTGGTTTTCTTGCCAGTTTGGCTCTTTGCTCCCTGGGACTGAGTCAGCTAATGAGGCTATGTTCGTCGCGTTCACTGGGATGCCGCTGAGCGCTGTTTCGTTGCCACTCACCCGGCGCTGCTCCCCAGCATCATTCCCCGCCAGGTCCCCTCGCCCTGGTCTGAAAACCTCCAGTACTTCATCACGCACTCCGGTGCTTTGAGATCCCAGAATGGGCAGAGTGAGTTAATTTGACCAGTATAGTTGCAGGCTAACCAAGCTAATTAGATAATGGCCACTAATTAGCAGCGACAAGTAAAGCTATGTGTCCATCAGGGAACTCGTAAATCACAGAGTTGAGGCAGAGCAGCTGGGATCACCTGAGAGAAAACCTGAAAATATTTTCTCCATCAAATATGATCAAGTTTTAGCAGAATCAGTGAATAAAGTTGTGCTTTTGTACAGTATTCAGTAGTGCCCGTCCCAGAAACACTATTTTTCAGCAGCATAATAAACATTGAGAAAGCTTTTCATTGGATAAATTAAATACAGGCCCATGAGTGCAGGATGATTTATCAACATTAAAAATCGTTTTCCAGAAAATGACACACTCTAAAATGTCTTCAAGAATCCCTACAACACAACATTTTTTGTCATTGATGGGCCAGATCCTGCCATTTGGAAGTAATCCAAAAGTAACTAAAAGTAGTCAGATTACATTACTTTTATTTTGTGGTACTTAGATTACGTTACTGATTACATTTTTAGACAAGAAATTAGTAATTGTTCTGGATTACATTTTTAAAGTAATCCTCCCAACCCTGTTGCTGACTCCAGTGTCTGAATAACTTTTTTAAGAGTTCAACAGAAAAAGTGTCTGCTGGGTCCATGTTAATGGTTTTTTATAACCAGAGTGAGAACAACACCAAAAGATAGAAGGGGAAAAATAAATAACACAACGAAAAACATAATACAGAGTATTGGGAAAAACACAGAGACAGGAAGTGATGTACACAAAGACACATGAAGAGGGAAACAAAATAAAACAGGAAATAGAAAACACCAAAACCGAAAACTGTAACAGTAAATGTATGGAGAGTGAGTCCATATGTATGGTTATAAGGATAGGATTTAGAAATACTTACTAACTCCTCAAGTTTCTATGTCTACATTATGTGAATTCAACATCTGTATTAAATTGCATTTTGAAGTAGGTTTTCCACCCAGACATCATTACATTTCTGTGCACTGGTCATTAAAAACAATACAAAGAAAAAGCATGTTGTAACACTAACTCAGGGAAAAATTCAAAAGTCAAAAGACCCATTTTGCATTTGAATTTGTTTTAATTTGAATTATAGCATATCAAATGAAAATGAGTAAAACTTTGCATTTATGTTTGACATCTCTCCAAGGCTTGTTTTTGTGAAACCTTTTGAGGTCATTCATTTACCAGTCAGAGGACACTATTGTATCGAAAAGGTTCCCATGTTTGTCTTGTACAACCAATTGGGTTTTTTTTTTTATGTCTGTGAGAATATGGTACAGTATTGTTTGCTTGGCTTGTTTTTGTTCTTTCTTTCTTGTTTCAGTTCTTTCTTTGGGTGTCATCATCAGCCTCCTTTCAAATACATTCAAAATTCCAGCTCAGTTTGCATTTTCATTTTCAAGTTTAAGTAGTGCATTTTCTGCTAATACGAAAATTAATGCAAACTGTTAAGTTGATCATCATAATTGTGGCAGGGTTTGTTGTGCACTACAGGTGTTCTTCAGTGGCTCACAAAGTATTTGCCTTATGCAGAGCTGAAGGGTGAGGACATGTACGTTCCTCCAATTTCTGTATCACTTCTAAACTGCATTCCAAACTTTATTCATTCGAAAAATCACAAAGCAATTGGGAAAACAATTTAGTAACATATAAAATGTAATTTCTACAAGGTTGAGGTGAGGAATGAGTAAGACAAAAATGTATCAATTTTTGAATAGTTTTGGGAGTATTACACTTCTGTCTAACAATAAATCTGTCCCAAAATAATGTTTTAAAATGTAAAATTTTACCATTTGTAGATAAATACAAAATAACAGAAAAGATGAGGAAGTCGACTGCCTCTAGACATCTTGATGACACTTGCATTAATTTTCTAATGAAATTTGAAGAGGAGGCAGCTGGATTGTTGAGGAACTTGATTTAACAATAGTTTGCCTGATTTTACAATTATGCTGGAATAAATACTGAGGCAGCAGAGTAGTATGACTGCATGTCATGTATAGGGCCTGGGCTGGGGGATGTTGCTGTCACCTGCTCTGAGTGTCCAACATACTGAATAATGGCATGGCTTCACAAGTAACAAAGGTATTTCGCCATTGGGCAAAAATTTCTATACAAGATGTCTGTCTGATAGTACTGTAGCTAAATTTAAGGATGCGATTCCATCAGCTCTAAAATTCATTATCAAGTCACAAAGTAACGGAGGTCTCCTATGCTAATTTCAGTCCCTCCCAAATCGATCATCTTGTTGACAGTGCTGCAGGCTCGCTGCGACTGACACTCGACTCTGTAGCCCCTCTAAAAAAGAAAATAATAAAACAAAGACGGTTAGCTCCATGGTATAATACTGAAACTTGCAAATTAAAGCAAATATCGAGGAAACTTGAGAGGAATTGGCGTTCCACCAAACTGGAAAATTCTCGTTTAATTTGGTAAGATAGTCTTAAAACGTATAGGAAGGCCCTCCGTAATGCCAGAGCAGCGTACTACTCGTCATTAATAGAGGAAAATAGGAACAACCCCAGGTTTCTTTTCAGCACCGTAGCCAGGCTGACAGAGAGTCACAGCTCTATTGAGCCAAGTATTCCCATAGCTCTCAGTAGTTACGACTTCATGAGCTTCTTTAATGATAAAATTATAGCTATTAGAAACAAAATTCACCAAGACCTGCCCTCAACTGGCACCAGCTTATCTCTAAACTCAGGAACCTTAGAAACAGCTGTAGAACCGGATATATGTTTAGACTGTTTTGCTTCCCTCAATCTTTACCAACTAACTTCAATAATTTCTTCATCTAAACCATCAACCTGCCTCTTAGACCCCATCCTGACTAGGTTGCTTAAAGATGTTTTACCCTTAGTCAGCTAGTATAGTCTTCTATACTAGATATGATCAATCTATCTTTATCAACAGGCTATGTACCACAGTACTTTAAAGTAGTTGTAATTAAACCTCTTCTGAAAAAGCCCAAACTTGATCCAGATGTTTTAGCCAACTATAGACCTATATCTAACCTTTCATTTCTCTCTAAGGTTCTGGAGAAAGCAGTTTCTAAACAGCTGTGTGACTTTCTACATAGCAATAGTTTATTTGAGGATTTTCAGTCAGGATTTAGAGCTCATCATAGCACAGAGACAGCACTGGTGAAAATTACTAACGACCTCCTTATCAGACATCAGACAAAGGACTTGTCTCTGTACTGGTTTTATTAGATCTTAGTGCTGCATTTGATACCATTGACCATCAGATCCTATTGCAGAGACTGGAACATTTCATTGGCATTAAAGGAACCGGTCTAAGCTGGTTTAAGTCCTATTTATCAGATCGATATCAGTTTGTACATGTTAACGATGAGTCCTCCATGTATGCCAAAGTTAGTCATGGAGTTCCACAAGGATCTGTCCTCGGTCCAATCCTCTTCACTTTATATATGCTTCCTTTAGGCAATATTATCAGGAAATATTCCATAAGCTTTCATTGTTATGCAGATGATACTCAGTTATATCTATTGATCAAACCAGATGAAACTCATCAGTTAGCTAAACTTCAAATGTGCCTTCAGGATGTTAAAACCTGGATGACCTGTAATTTTCTAATGTTAAACTCAGATAAAACTGAAGTTATTGCTCTGGGGCCTAAGCACCTCCGTGACGCATTATCTAAAGATATAGTTTCCCTGGATGGCATTGCCCTGGCCTCCAGCACCACTGTGAGGAATCTTGGAGTTATCTTTGATCAGGACATGTCGTTTAAGTCTCACATTACGCAAATTTCAAGGACTGCCTTTTTTCACCTACGTAATATTGCGAAAATCAGGAACATCCTGTCTAAAAATGATGCAGAAAAACTAGTCCATGCATTTGTTACTTCTAGGCTGGATTACTGCAATTCCTTATTATCAGGCTGCTCGAAAAAGTCCATTAAGACTCTTCAGCTGATCCAGAATGCTGCAGCACGTGTTCTGACAGGAACCAGGAAAAGAGATCATATTTCTCCTGTCTTAGCTTCTCTGCATTGGCTTCCAGTAAAATCCAGAATAGAATTTAAAATCATTCTTCTTACCTACAAAGCTCTTAATGGTCAGGCACCATCTTATCTTCAAGAGCTCATAGTACCTTACTACCCCACCAGAGCACTGCGCTCCCAGAATGCAGGGTTACTTGTGGTTCCTAGAGTCTCCAAAAGTAGACTAGGAGCCAGAACGTTCAGCTATTAAGCTCCTGTCCTGTGGAACCAGGTTCCGGTTTGGGTTCAGGAGGTAGACACCATCTCCACATTTAAGAGTAGGCTTAAGACTTTCCTCTTTGACAAAGCTTATAGTTAGGGCTGGCTCAGGTGACTCCTGAACTATCCCTTAGTTATGCTGCTATAGGCCTAGACTGCTGGGGGATTTCCTATTATGCACTGAGCTCCTCTCTCCTCTACTTTCTCTCCCTCTGTATGCAACCTCATCCCATTATTGCATGTTACTAACACAACTTCTCCCCTTTCCGGTAGTCTTGTGCTTTCTCGTCCCTCTCCTCTCTCCTCCTATCACGTCCTGCAGGTTTTCTGGCTGTGGAGCTGTGGAGTCTGGATCTGTGGCTGCAGGTCACCTGCTGCCCCCGTGTTCCTGCTCGACACCCTCTGCTGCAACAACTATTGTTACTAGTCCTATTGTTATTATAATCATTAACATTACGATTGTTATCATTAACACTACTATAAATATCTGTACCATTTTTCATTTAGTCTATAGCAACATTACCTTTATTGTCTGTACCTCTGTGTGTGTATATTGTGTAGGCTGCCTCCCTCCACTCTCTCTCCTTCCATCCCTCTCTTTTTCGCTCTGTCCCCCCCCTCCTTCACCCCAACCGGTCGAGGCAGATGGCCGCCAACCCTGAGCCATGGTTCTGCTCGAGGTTTCTGCCTCTTAAAAGGAAGTTTTCCCTTGCCTCTGTCGCCTAGTGCTTGCTCTCGGTGGGAACTGTTGGGCTTCTGTAAATAGCATCATAGAGTATGGTCTAGACCTGCTCTTTTATGAAAAGCGCTGTGAGATAACTGTTGTTGTGATTTGGCACTATATAAATAAAATTGAATTGAAGTGAATTGAATTTCTAATTTTTGATCAGATGAAAGTTTGCTAAGTTATTTGTAGATGTTAATAAACTCCACATTAATCTTTTTCTTAAAATAGGCTGTGTGAATACATACATATCTACTGCAGTGAACATTTGGTCAAAAAATGTGCTTATGGATGATAAATTACATGTAGCCGCAACTCATCTAAAAAAAGAGTAATGTTGCTTGAGTCATCATACACAGTGACTGAAATTATATGCATATGTCTCACCTTTTACTAATAGGTCTTAAAAGTGAGACTTTATGATCAAAACCCTGTCATCATTTGATTGTTCCTGCAAAACTTTACAGTAAGAAGACAGAATTGAACAAGATATTGCAAAACAAGTGGAATTTAAATAGCCTAAAACACGTGGCTGTCACACACTGCTATGAGAACCAGCACTATCTTGGTAATTATGCTGTCATCTCTGAACGAGAATCCCCTCAGACTAGCTCTGGGTAGTGTCTGACAGAGTAGACCAGAAGTACAAACATTATCCTTCTAGCTCGGATCAGTGGCCATAACTTACTGTTTATGTTTTTGAGTTTGCACATGCATGTGAAAAAGATGATCAGAGAGAAGAAATTATTTTTCAGTTTGTATATTTAGTTCATAATGAATATTTGATCCTCTGTGTAGTGTCATTAAAACGTGGCTGCTGACAAGCGTACAAACTCACTTTATGAAACACAGGGCGCAGAGGACATGCATGCTCACACATAAATATATGAAACATATGCACTCTTTTCTGCCCTCACTATACATGTAAGTGCACAGCTAAAGACACTTACACTAAAGGCTAAAGACAGTAACTGGACAGCAAGTAAAACTGTTAAACAATATACAGTAAATATATAATAAACTTTTTATTCTTTGTCAGTTCTTATAATATGTTTCAATTACATTTTGTGACATCATTTTTTTTCTACTGTGCACTTGTCCTGCGTATAGTTTGAATGACAATAAAAGTTAATCTGTATCTTGAAGAACGAGCTTCCCTTCAAATCTTGCGACAGCGGTGGAGGGATTTCTGGACTGACGGAACAGCAAGCTCACTCTTCTGGGAACAACAAGTACTGCCGGACCACAGCGGTACCCCTGAAGAGTGAAGAGCCTTGGTGGATCCTGCTTTATTGCTGGATGGTAACATTTGTGCAGGAACCAATTGGCATCAGAAGCAGGAGTGGACTGCCAGACAGACACCCTCCCCACCACAGACACAGAAAGCATGTATAAATTCCACAGTAGAGGCCCGAGAACCGACCCATGGGGTACTCCTCATGTCATTTTGGTCTGAAATATGTGGTGACGGCACTTGGAGAGCAGCTTTTGAGCTATTTTAATAATAGAATAGAAGGTTATAATGTGTATCTGGATTAATTTCATTAATGTGCCTTAATTCATTAGAAAATGTCCAAAAAGCCTTGTCTTACTTCGATTAGAAATAAATTATAATTACAAAACATATTCTGGATCCAGATGAGCAATAAGATGTGTCACTTGACTGATGGCTATCTTTCTACCAAATTTCATGGACTACGAAAGAAACAAAAAAGACAAGAAACAAGAAAATATTACTTGATCCTTTGCAATAATGAAGCAAGATACATGCATCACTGCGCTGTTGATATTTGAATTTAAGAGATGAGTTACTGTAGGGACACATCTTACTTCAATCTCCTGTTCCTTGAAAACAGCAGTAAGATTCACACTTCTCATGACAGGTGAACAGAGTGGAGAGTATTGACATCTACTGTGAATTATATTACAGCCTTTTCTACAGTTTGAAGGAACACTGAAAAAAAGGTAAATGTAGCTGCATACCTTTAAAGTACAGTGCTGCTGAATGGTCTAGGGATGTACCCGAATCTGAATGCGTAATTCGGGAAAGAACAAATAATGTGATTTCTTGGTGGGTGGGTGTCAACTTTATTTCTTGGTCAAAAAGAGCATAGGCGCTGGCTTCAGTAAACTAAAATCTTACAATGCTTACAATGTCCTTGTTTATTTAAAGAGGTGGTATTATGCTCATTTTCAGGTTCAAAATCTTATTTAGGGGTTGTACCAGAACAGGTTTACATGGTTTAATTTTCAAAAAACACCACATTTTTCTCATACTGCACATTGCTGCAGCTCCTCTTTTCACCCTATGTGTTGTCCGCTCTGCTCTTGAGCTACAGAGTGATGCATCTTACTTGTACAAAATCTTTGTAGGGAGTTGCGCATGCGCAGTTCCCAGGTAAGGACTACTAGCAAATCAGAAGCAGAGAAGGGCGGGTCGTAAGAAACAAGGTAGTGTGATCCAAATCAAAGCCGCTTCAGACTGCGACCGTAACCTAGCAGATGGTATAAGTTACTCTCAAGTCCACAACATCATTGTTCCACATCGTACCATAAACCACTACAAAAGTCATCATATTTCAACTCAATTTTTTTTATAAAAATTGGCCAAACAATTTGAACATTTGCTCAGTAGCTTTCATATCAGGTGTAACATTAGCATTATAGCTATAACTTTAGCTGTGTTAGCCAACGCTGCGTTTATTTTAAATATAATTCACAACCAATAAAGCATACTTACAGGTTGTGATTATGAATTTCCAGGCCCAAACAGAATCGGAGTTGCATCGTCTTTTAGGACTAAATGTTGAACTGTTGCTGGTGTTCTGACGATCTATGCCACCTTGCCAAAAAATGCTTGACTCTACTCGTCCCTGCTCCGTTTTCCATTGCAGATAGTACCCAGAGATAGTAGGTAGCTTGTCGTCATAGCGACGCCTCACACAACTGCCGCGACGAAATGTTCAATGCGACACACACACCTGCGATCCACACAGCTTTCTCTTTAAGTTAAAACGTTTCAACATTACTCAGAATGTAAAGACAGATAAGCGGTGTGAAAACCTTACAGCTGTGTTTTCCTCTGCCGTTGTTGTTGCAGCGGGTGTGTGACGGCGGGAGCAGAGGGCTCTGTGAGCGGGTGGTTGGCACAGGCTTCCCCTGCAGCCACTTGCGGAGCTCCTCAACTCCGAAAATATTCAAGCACATTTTTGTTCCGCCATCACTTCTCGTAAAACTGTCAATATTCGAAATCTACACAGCTGATTTCTCACCTCAAAACTTCTCAGAAGTGGATTTAGTGATGAAATTACAAATGAAAACTGTAAAATATAAAACCTTCTGTTGCTGGCCTCTGTCTGGAGCAGGCAATGACGATGCAGTGAATAGTGAATATTCTGTCTGACCAATCAGCAGTCTGTCGTATTTTCACCTTACATTTTAGTATCCCTTAGCTTGCTTGGAACCTCGATGGAGTTGAGGTGATACGAAAAAAGTACCTGGAAGCAGGTACAACATTTCTACAATGGTAAACCAACAAAGGCGTGCTGGTACTGTGCAGTGGAAAAGGGGCTTCACTAAAATCAAAGGGCCTCCGCTTAGACTAGCTTGTTTTGAGGGCGTGCCTGACCCCACTAGCTGCTTGGCTAGCTTTATGACTCATTTTCCTTGTGACGTCACAAGGAAAGGAAGTGAAGGGCTAGATTACAAACGAGCTGTTTTCAAGCAGTTCAGAGCAGAGCTTTCTGTGGGAGATGGGAACTCCCTTTGGGCTTTTTCACTTTGCAAACCTATTAAATGCACAAAAAAGAGATAACTCAATAAAGGAGAGGGGAAAAGACAAAAAGCATAATACCACCTCTTTAACTAATGTGTGCAGTCTGTAGATGATGATAAATCAAATTCATTACACCAGTTCATGGGTGCCCCATACCACACAACAACTTTTGTAGTCAGGTCACTATTCTACAGCAAAACAGACCTACACAATGTTAAACCAGAACTAAAGACACATAAAATACAGTCTGCATTATCAAATCTAAATCCTAATTCTTATAATTTCAATTTTCAACTTTTTTAAGCTAATATCTCCTTTCCTCTTCCTTATGTTGAATGAGAATGATATCTAATCTGTGTTCATAAAGCAGTTGTCATACACTGTTGGGGAATTGGAAATTCTTGGGTCTCTGTAAACAGTACTGTCTAGACCTGCTCTATATAAAAAGTGCAAGGAGATGCCTTTTGTTATGAATTGGTGCTATTAAATAAATTACAATATTACTGTCTCTGAATTGTACTGTGTTACACTACTTTTGTGTTGTGTTTTGTTACTTTCACTGCTATTTAAATGGGCCTATTATTCTGATAATAAGATGTGCCGCATAGGTGGTATTCTAGCGCAGTTATCCACGGATCTGGTGGGTCTTTGTCATAATAATTAACCTTCTGATTATTAGTAGCATGGGTCCCCATTAAGAAAGACACTGGAGGTACAGCAACATAACATCATTGATTATGTGAATCTCCTGACACTCCAATTGGTCAGGATGAAATGACAGCAGCCTGATCATGAACGTAATTTGTTAAAGCACAAACACATAGCCTATAGAAATCTATTTGCGCATAAACCATCACAGGAGTTACCGTCTTGTTAGGAGGAGCCAAGCTCTCGACCATCAGATCCCTGCAACAGGAAATAATGTCAGGCCAACTATTTAACTCATGGATTTGTTTTTGTTTTTCTGTTGCTGAAGTGTTTCTCGGTGTTGGTGAATTATTAAAAAAGCAAAACACCACTTAATTTCAGGTTAAAACTGTCAGGGGTTGGCTGAGTGCAGACTGAGGTGTGGACCCAAATGCAGACCAAACAGGAGGATTCAGTTCAACAGAAAACATTTATTTAAACTTAACTGCACAGGCTTCCATAGAGCTCGAGGCAAAAGTCCAAACAAAAGTAATCCAGGAATAATCCAGAACGGGGAAACCAAAGGAACATGCAGGAACACTCAACATTAGATACACAAAGACTGGAGACAAGAGCAGGCATATATACACACACGGACTAACGAGCGGGGCGGGAGCAACACAGGTGATACTAATGGGACTAACGAGACACACACACACAGGCAGGCAGAGAGAGAGTTGACAGGTAGACATGGGGCAAAATGAATAACCAACAAAGACAGAAACACACATGTTACAAAGTACCAGAACACAGAACTAGAACACAGAGTACAGAGGAGACTAAACCAAAATAATGCACACAAGAACTAGGAGCAACAACCAAGACATGAACTAAAGACATAGAACTAAAACCCAGACTCCCAAACAAGACACACAGACAGGATCACGACAAAAACACGTTGTAACACACCTTACTGAGATATGGGTATAATATTACCAATTTTTTTTTAGTAATGTGTCATATTACTGCGTTACAGCAAAAAGCAATACATTACTGTAATTGCCTTACTTTTGTAATGTGTTACTCCCAACACTGCCCCTAGGTATCTGTCCCTTTGATGCAGTATGTGTCAATAGTTCTTACTAGTATTATTACTGCTCTAACTAGTGTCTATTGTTACTAGTAGATCTCTTACTTTACTGATGCTTGTATGTTGTTCATCAAATGCATTTCACTTTGGATAAAAGCATCTGCCAAATGAGTAAATGTAAGTGTACATTAAAGGCCCCCTTTGCATGTAATAGGTTTGCAAAGTGAAAAAGGCCAGAGTCCACCCCACCTTAAGTTACCATCTCCTACAGAAAACAGCTCAATTGTAGTCCAGTCTTTACTTACGTAACCTATCTGCTTCACTATGTAACACGTGTCATAATGCTCACCTAGCAGCTAGTGTAGAACGCCCTCAAACCAAGCCAGGCAGATTCCCTCCAGGCAGTCAATAGACATAAAGTAATATGATGTAGAGACAGTGCACAGTAAAACATTACGTATTATAGAAATTTCTTACAAATTAATAACTTAACATACTGAAACGTCTTGCTCCAGTCTAGGTTTCAAAGCTGGTTGGGGTTGTTTTTCTTGTGTTTTGGGATCAGACTTGTGCTCGAACATGCACGGCTGAAATGGAGCCATGGTTTCCAGCTGAAGCGGCTTTGTTTTGGATCACACTACGAATAGAAGAGAGATGCCTCACTCGGTAGCAAAAACAGAGCGTTGAACACACAGGGGGAAAAGAGGTGCTGCAGCAATGTACGATATGACAAAAATATGGTGTTTTAAACCATGTAAACCTATTCTGGCACAAGCCCTAAAAACAATTATGAACCTAAAAATTTGCATAATATGAGTTCTTTAAAGAGGCTGTAGCCTAAATAAGGCTTGTTGGACACGTGCAGTGACTAGGCCTAGGCCTATAGCTCTTTTCATTTCTTGGTCATTTGTGTTAGAATGTGTCTCTTTTTTGCCCATACAGAGGAAGGTCTTTGTATATGTATAATTGATAATAATAATTTCATTGACATCCTGCAAAATCTGTCAAAAAATGGAATTTAGGTTGGTTTGGGCATCAGGGCACAGTGATGTGATGTTGTTCCACTAGTATTGGGGTTGTTGTTCTTGTGATGTTACTGATTGTAAAAAAAAAAATTATTGAGATATTGTTTTAGTGGTCTTTCTGCATGACATCTTGCAGGAATCCTTTGCTACTTGTGAAACCATCTGTGTATGGATTGGTTATTTCAGTCCAGGAGACAAGGAATGTCAGTTGGGAACCCTATGGAGATACAGTTGCTTTCCTGAAATCAACATTGTGTTTGGCTCTCTGTCACCGTCGAGCAAAATATTGATTAGAGCAACTGTGTCTTTGTAGTTTGTTCCCCCCACCCACCTTGCTACCATTTGTCATCATTCTCCTGGGCTCTCGTTGTGTTTGTGTGTATTTGTGCACGTGTAGGGATGTGAACAGAGGTGGTCAACAATCACAAAAAAAATTCCTGAATGCTTACTTGACCCTGTGAGTGGATTTGCCTGTACAGCAACTGTATGACTGTGGGTAGCAGAGGCTGATATATATGTAATATGGCTGAATTCATTTCAACAGGATGAAATGACAGGATGAAACGGACGACAATGCATTTTAATGTATTTTAACATTGCGATGTGACAGGGTACAACCACATTACACACTGAATGTACAATTAGGCCTGCAAACTTAAATGGGATGAATAAGGCGACAGTTCATAAATGGTTTCTATGCATTGCCAGCAATTTTGGTGTTTCTCGAATGTGAGGGTTTACTGCTTTTCTTTGTATTATATAGTTGTAATTTTTTAAATCCTTGGATTTTAGACTGACTGACAAAATATGCAACTTACATGGCATAACCCATGTCGCTCACTTTTCATTTTGTTAATTGATAAATGTAATCTATTAAAGTGACGTTTGAAGTTTTTTTATGAAATCAGCCTATTTGTCAACAGGTTGTTACCTCACATAAAAATGAACAATACACCTTCTTTCTTGTTGGCTTGGAACAGTCACTTACATATGCTGCATCATACGGGATGAAATCGGGCTGGATTTCCTGCATACATGCTCCCGAGACCTCCACTTTGTTTTGGATATAAAAACCGATCCTTGAAGAAGTCCTTGTTATTGCTGTTTAGCAATGTGCCTGTTGCCATTTTTTTTCTAGATTTTCTCTCTGCTACACTTAAAGATGACTTACAGTAAACCTCCACTGACTACATTGTGTAATGTCATGTATTTTACAGATGCCTGCAGCAAACATTGGACTCACCATAAAGACAGAAGTAGTATTAAATGTGTCCATCCAGGAGGGAACAAATTTGATTAAATTGTTGTTTTTCTTGAGTTTTAACAGGAATCAAGATAGTGGGATTTTACACAGAAAACAATTGCTGCAGGTGTTCTGACATCCATCATATGCTGTTGGCTGCAATTGTCCTATAGAAAAGATATGCTTTCAGTGGGTTGCTGCTTTCTGTGAGACAGACAGCTGAAGATAGCTCACTTTGCACAGGGCAACTTCAGTTAAATAGCAAACTTTAAACAGCAACTGAAAACAGTTTGCATCATAAAGATGTGGTCAAGTAGGGTCCTGCATCAAGTGCAGGAGTGACTGTGATCTTCAGAGCTTCCAAAATCATGCAGGTGCCATCATTTTAATTTAAAAAGGTCAATATCACTGGAAGGTGACAAGTTTACTGCTATGGACCATTTTTTAGGAAGGAATTTTCTTAAAAAAGGCAAGCTGTTAATCATGTACAGCATGGAAGATTTTTAAATAAGTGCTGGCACTGGCTGCAGGAGAAGAGAAAAAGCACACATTCTTAAGCATACATTCTTCTCCTGCAGTGAGTTGATGGCATTTGAGAATGGTTTTCAAGATTGATACTTTGATACTTGCTATCGGGAAGAAATTCTTAGCAGGTTTTACACATTGCCACACTTTTACAACTTTAATATAAAACCCGATGTGATGTTGGGGTCCGCTGCTGTGAATGTCATTCATTTGCTCTCCATTGCACAACATTCTTAACAAAACAGCAGGCACACTGAATAGCAGAGCATGGAGAAGTTTCTTTTGTTTGACTGGATATGACATGAGGCTTCACTGTTCCGACAACCCTGGCAGAGACGTGCTTATGAACTTTCATAGAGAGAAACAACAAACATGGGCTTGACTATTGTGCTTTTAAATCCGAATAAAGCCATTGCTCTGCTTTGATTCCAGAAAAAATCAGTAGAGCTATAAATTGAACAGCTCACTGATTCAAATCAGTAACTCATTACACATGTAGATATCTGTTATCTGTACAATCCATGTCATTAATAACTGCTGTTTGCACAATTGTTTTTCATCCCTCATGATGGTATAGTTGTTTGTACACAACAGCACTGTAGAGTCACAAACAAAGTTACGATGTGGTAACCCTAGTTCTATACGCACAGGCAAAGCCCTCTACTGGACTTATGGGTACTTCCTCTTCCAATCACATGCATGCACTTGCCCACTGAAATTTTATTGTGCACGTAGCCAACCAATGGGACGTTGCTACCGATACGTGTGCCTCAGCATCCGACCGCCTCTTCAGTAGACGGTGTAGGAGCGGCAGGGCTCATCGGTAGCTCATTGTAACCTTTGTTCTATCTCACACAGGCTCTGCCCTCTACTGGACTCTATGGGTACAGTGGGTGGACCCCAATGACTGTCTGCCCTAGCCACGACAAGCCAAAGTCTACCACACCAACCCAGTCGGCCACAGGCCGGCCAAAGCCCCCACCACCACATCACCTTAGTGACAGAATGGTGGGCCACCCCTAAGACGGTTGCTGGACCGATAGGGACTTGGCCTGACCATTAACAAATGGACAGCTCTGACTTCTCACTGGAATGTCAGGCACTGACAGTGTATGTTCCCTCTCTACACCCAGTAGCCACCAGATCCTCACTTTACAGATCGTAGGCCGCACTTCGAGATGTAACCCGGCATATCCAAGAGATAGAAATGCACAAACGTCACGGTAAGGGCCAAGACGCCATTGTGCAGATCTCTTCGACACACATCCCGCTGAAAAGGGTCGTAGCCACTTTTAGCAGAATGTGCACGCATTGCTGATGGTGGGTCTGTTTCCGCCCGTGTACAGGCTTGGGAGATTCACCCACAAAGCCAGCCAGCCAGGCTCTTCTTGGACAG